CAGAAAAGACAAAAGAGCAAAGATACTGATATGCATCTTTCCAACCTTGGTGTGCTTTTTTTTTTTTTTTTTTTTTTTTTTTTTTTTTTTCAAAAAAAAAAAAAAAAAAAAAAAAACACCAGCAGACCTCCATTTAAAGCTAACTTTGTGTCGTCAGTGCAAGAGGATGTGTTTAAGAAAAACTACAACTATAAATCACACGTGATCCTTACTTTAAAGCTACCAAGGGTGAACAACTTTAAAAATTTTAGTGTTTTCTACAATTAAAAACATTCAATTGTTTTTGTGGTTATAGAAATTCCACTAAGTATTCTCAGTGAGGCATATGCTTTCTGTACGTTGTTCTATACAAAAGAAGTGCCGGTGCTATTTCGTTTTTGAAAATTATGCTCATTCCATTTTAAGCTTTAATGACATCGACTACCATGTTTTATATTTATTGTGGTTTCACAATAAATGCTATATACATTATCAGTTGGGATAATTCTTAACGGTCATCAGATGAAACTCCTTAAATTTTTACAGTTTAAGTATTGACTGACAATCTTTATTGATAAAGAAGCTTAAGCTCACTAAGGGTTTAAATTGCATTTCAACTTGGCACGGTGTTTTCAATGATTATTTTCTTCTGCTTTTATCGTGTTCAGGTTTAGTTATTGTAGGGTAAGGTCACATTTTCATATTTTTTTACTTTCATTTTTTTTTTACTTTATCAAGCATACAGAGGTCCTAAACAAATACTTTATTGATTTTTTTTTAAATTTTAACATTAATCACCTACAAACATATCCAATGTAATGGGATGTAAAGGTTTTAGTAATATAATCCCAGGAGATTTTTTATAATTGTCTCATGGAAAAATTAAATTGTGGAAATACGGTTCTGATTTGTGGTTCGAGTCCGTTCAAGGCAAATTCCTGGTGACCGCTGCTAAGTACTTTTCCAGATCAAACATTAGGTCCAATTAATTAACCTTTCTAAATTTACAGTCACATGAGTATTTATGAGCTTCAAAAAAGTGCACTCACTTTTACTTTCCCTGTTAAAGTACATAAACACGTATGCCACTGATTCCTAAGGAAGATCTTTTTGCTAGGGTCTTGGAAGGACTTTTGTTCAAACAGTACTAACCCCCCTGCCTCCTCTGTATCCCAGGGAATCATGGAATTCGTGAGTCACTACTAATAGCAGTGTGTCAAATCCCTCCAAGAATGTTTTGAGACCCACTGGGCCTTTTGCACTAGAAATACATAGATTTCATGGATAAGCAACAGAACAAGGATTCAGTCCCTCACCAACTTTATCCACTAACTGCAAGGGTGAAACCTGTGTTCATTCATTCACTTAGAAATTCCACGAATGCATATTCACTGAATACCTACTCTAGGCCAGGCATTGTGCCAGGTGTTGGGATACAACTAGTGGACTAGTCACGGCCCTCACCTTCAAGAAGCTCAAGATCTCATGAGGAACACAGTGTGCCATGGGCACATAGCAGGGAGAGCCTCCAACCTAGTGCGGAGGAGTCAGGCACATTCCCTGGGGGAGGTGGGATTGTGCTGGGACCTGGAGGATGGGATGGAATTCTCCATGTGAAGGACGAGGTGGTGGGGAGAGCTTTTCCTGGTGGAAAGGAGCAGCCTTTACAGAGGTCCAGCAAGGCGGGAATTGAATGTTCTCTGTGTAGCTGGAACCTAGCGAGGCAGGGAGGGTGGCAGGAGAGATGAGGCTGGAGAGGTCAGCTGGAGCCCAATCACAAGTCTTCTATAAAGTATGCTCAGGGTTTTAGATTTTGCTCGAAGGACAGAGAAGAGCCAGGAGCAAATTTTGAGCTGGAGGTTTTATAAAGATTTTCTAAAGATTGCCTCTGCTGTGGTGTGGAGACTAGACTGGAGAGGTAGGGAAATGAAGTAGGTGGCTGTCACTGTAGTCCAGGCACGGACAATGGTGGGCCAGAAGAGAGGAGCGGCGGTGGCATTTCTCCTGGCAGGCAGACATTGAGTCCACTGGAGGAGAGGGCACAACTCAAGAGGGCCCTTTGGAAAACTGGGCGGATGGAGAGGCCGTGTAAAGATTCAAAAGAGCAGCACAGAATTACCCAGGTGCTGTGTATGGTTTTCAAAAATGAAAAATGAAAAGAGCAAAGGAATGCTCCCAACCGTCTTGGAGTCTAAAAGACACGAGAATGCACGGATCAGACCGTGATAGCCCTCAGCGCTGCTGTTCGCTGTGCTGCCACTGTCATTCAGCACGCAGCTCTTCCGTCTCTAGCTTGTATTTTCAAACATATCAGAATCTTATGTAAACTGTATCAATATGCAGCTAGTCTCCGCATCACCACTGCCCACTTGGCTCTTTTTGTTTTCTGATTTATAGAGGCAATTGAAATGAAGTCAGGACTAATTTTTTTAAAAAAGATGATGAGCTAGTCCTACACTGGAAAAGCTGGCCAAAATGTTCCATACGGCCAGCTCAAACCAATTTGCTTAAGGCTGGTCCTCTCCAAAATTGCTTAGAAGGGGTAAAAATGTTTGCTCTTTCCATTTCTCCGTAAGATAGCCATTCTCATTTCCTTCTAAGTTTCTAAGTTCCTTCTACTTATCTTCTCCTGTGGCTGCAGAGACCTATCCGCACTCGAATCTCTGTCACACTCATGGCTCCAGATCTTTCTGTCTTACAACCAGTCACATCTGCTGGTCCTGTGTGGTAACTACTTAGGGCCTAAGTTTCTGATAAAGTAAATCAAGTATACTTTATTATAAATTAGTCAATAAATAAACTAATTTATACTGCAAAAATCATCAAATAAGCCAATCCAATAACGACTACAACTTAAATGTGTTTCCTGCTCAGCTACGCCTGGAGTGGCTGTACAGCAGTGACCAAGTGCACCAGGCATGAGTATGCCTGGGCTCAACTCCTAGTTCCGGCTCCCACCGGCTATGTCTCCCTGGGGCAAGGCGAGCTAATGTGTGTTTCAGTCTCTTCATCTGTAACACGGAAATGCCACGTGTCTGCTTAATAGGACTGTTGGAAATTTTACATGAGATAAGGCATAAATTACTAATGACAGAGCCTGGCATAGAGTGAGTGCTCAATAACGGTTTACAATGATTGCTATTGCTATTATTATTGCTATTGTAAAACAAAGAGTCTTTAAAGTCTTTTCTAACCCAAAGACAAGAGTAATGTGCGAATTTCAGTCACAATGACAGGGTCAATGTATAAACCCTCAATGGAGCAAAGGGAGCATTTTTTAGTTGTGTGTGTGTTTTAACCATATGAGAGGCTGTTTACTTTGCACAAACTCAGATCTACTCTTGCATAGATATTAAATGATAGATTATACGTTCCTCAAGGTAGAGTGTGTGCTCTGTTCCCCGCTGTGCACCTCACATAAAGCCTGGCATGTTGCTGCTGCTCAATCAGTTCTGCTGAATGACTAAATAACAGAAACATCCTGGTGGGAGAGCTTCTAAAACCAATCCTGTTTCCTGACACCACAGCTCCCAAAGCATTCCCATACATTTACCATGTTCATTATCCTAAGAGTCTCATAAATTATTAGAAAGATCATTAAAGCTTTGTTTCTTAATTTAAATCTGAGACGTATTATTTTGCTGTTTTCAATTTTATGCATTGGTGACATTGTGTTTCACTCAATTCTCATTCTGGAAATTTCAGAGTAGCATGATACTCAATCATAGAAACTAGTAAATGGGTTATAAGTTTGCAATGGTGCCTGCAAATCAGTGATTTTTTTTTCTTTCAGTTTTTCTTTCATAGTCCTGTTACTCTAAAAGATATGAGTTATTTAAAGAAAGGGTAAGAAGGCTGAGATAAATATCATGTATGAATTATCTGATGATAAGGTTTTGAACATGCTTCTCCAGAACACGACCACAAATACAGGGTTTCAAAAACTAAATCAAGGACACTCATGTTGGGTGTGGCAAGGCTAGGGTTTCCAATTAAACCACAGGGCTGGCCTTGGATTACATATGAGTGTGATTTCTTGGAGACTCTTGAAGGAGCTCCACAAAGAAAACTCTCTTTTTCCTGTTCACTGACACCTAAAATTCTTTTAGAGCAAAAACGAGAGTAAATTGCAATTGATTGCAAATGTTTTCCTAGAAGTAGATTTGGAAGGAGATGCAGAGGAACTGTGGAGTTTCAAAGAAAATCCTGAGGGCACTGATTTCTGAGGGGAAGCAAAGAACATGCAAGGGAGTATTGGGGAATCAAAACCAAAGGCCAAGGGAGGACCTATGTGTGAACCTGCACTTCGAGGAGGGACGTGGTTCTTCTTAAGTGTATAGATATTTTTGTTTGCATATAATCAAATAACTGGAAAAAATCCTGCAAAGTGAAATATAATCTTGATCCATTAGAATGACAATCAATCAGGAAGCTTGAGGCTTGGTAACCTGAGGAGGGATTTAATAAGAAGCAATTAAAACAACTTGTTATAAAAAGGGCATTTGGAAAATTTCCCCTTCATCCAAAGAAATATTAAAAAGCCAATATGGAAAACAAGGGATAGAACTGCCTGGGTCCATGTGTATTGGGGAGATTAATTAATGATTTTTCTCATTAGCAAGCTATGATAGCAATGAAGCATTGCATTTATGAATGTTTTTTAAAAGTTAAACTCTGGTTAATGATTAGGCACAGTTATAGTTACATGCAAATGAATCTTGCATATAAATATATATATGTGTGTGTGTATACACATGTGTATATATGTGTATGTATATACACCTACGTGTGTATATATATAAATACACACACACACACATAATTGGTCAGTAAAGACAATATATTAGAACGTGTATCTTTCAATTCTGAGATGAGATGCACAAATCATGATACAAAATAAACATGATTTCTAAGTAATTACCTTTGTGACAAAAATTGCTAATGGATCTGAAATTCAGGTTTATTTGGGAACCCTGGGAGCCTAGCGAGCTGGCATATTCTGTTTAACGACAAGTGCTTACTGGTCTTTCATGCTGCAGAATTGATGACTTGCCAGGTTCATATTCAAAAATACTCCTTGGCTCAGACCGAAATTTTCTTGTGTCCACTTTTCTGTCGGGAGGATCCCAGTCATGCCTAGAAATAAACAACAAATCACACATTAAAATCATCCTTTTTGCTTAAAGCAATGGTATAAAACCAGTTATCTGTTTTCAAAGTTACTTTTAGTATAGTTTTTAAAAAATCTCTCAGGATAAAAAGTTAATCTGTGAAAAATACCACATTCCCCCGCGCTGGCTCAACAAGTCACATGAGGTGTTTGTAGACGCGCAAAGAGTGACCAGTGAGTGACCTCCTGGGTCCCTAACGGCAGCCATGTATGCTTGTGCTTAAAATAGGTGGCAGTATGCTCTGCTGAACTATGTGCGTTTAACCCACCACTTTGTGACCTTTGTGATCCTTGATCCAAAGTGACAAGGAGTAATGCACACACCATGTTTGATCTTATTTCTTGAAGAGGGATCATCGCTTGGGAAGAGTACAGAAGTGTCATGTGGGTTGACGTGTACCAGAGCAGGCAGTGTGGTACAGGAGGTCGTCTTTTGGTGTGAGCCTTGAAAAACCAGAGTCAAAATCTCACTCATGGGAACCAGCACTTTTCCCCCAAGGAATATCTTCCACGAGGCTGTCAGAAGACTTATGAAGGAAAGCTTCAAAAACGGGTTTTACAGAATTAAGCTTTTCTAGGCTGCTGAGCTAAAGAAGGCGGCTTCTTTGGGCTTTTTTTTTGTTTTGTTTTGTTTTCGAGACAGAGTCTTCCTCTGTTGCCCAGGCTGGAGTGCAGTGGTGTGATCACAGTTCACTGCAGTCTCAAACTCCGGGGCTCAAGCCATCCTCTCTCCTCAGCCTCCCAGGGGCCATGGTTTTTAGGAGGAAGGATTTTCTGACTAGAGATGGGGGTAATTCTGATTCCATGGAATGGAATGAAATTCTTGCTCCATGGCCCGTTGGAAATAGAAATGCTCTAAGGGACAGAATTAGGGGCAAGTCCTAGCTTTCTACTAAATTCATGAGTGATATGGAGCAAGACCCCTTAAACCTTCTCAGTCTTCATCTTTTTCCATTTGTGTAAAACGCAGATAGCAATAATGTGTTGTTCTTCCTTGCAGAGGAGTTTTGAGCACTACATGAGATAATACTTATGAAAGCCATATGGAATTTTTTAGGAGGTCATCATATGTTTTAGTGAGATATTTAATTTTAACAAAATGTACAGGACGGGTAATACCTTTAAATCAAAATGTTAATTTTGGTTATTTTTTGATGACAAATATAACAATTTGTGTCTAGAGAACTGTTTCTCAATTTTAAGGCCTCACGTAATTCATCCTGAGGAGATTGGTATTAAAATGAGAATCCCTTCACACATGAGGTGCGTGTTTTGCTGGGATACGCTGTACCCTATATGATCATCAATTACTTTATTATAACACTTTTATTTATTTTTTTTAGTGAAGATGGGATTTCGCCCTGTTGACCAGGCCAGTCTCGAACCTCCGGCCTCAGGCAATCGACACACCATGACCTCCCAAAATGCTGGGACTGGCCGGGTGCAGTGGCTCATGCCTGTAATCCCAGCACTTTGGGAGACTGAGGTGGGTAGATCACAAGGTCAGGAGTTAAGACCAGCCTGGCCAAGATGGTGAAACCCTGTACAAAAATTATCTGGGTGTGGTGGTGGGTGCCTGTAGTCCCAGCTACTCAGGAGGCTGAGGCAGAGAATTGCTCGAGCCCGGGAGTCGGAGGTTGCAGTGAGCCGAGATCGCACCACTGCACTCCAGCCTGGGTGACGGAGTGAGACTCCATTTCAAAAAAAAAAGTGCTGGGACTACAGGCGTGAGCCACCACGCCTGGCCTGATCATCAGTCACTCTAAATGCTACAATAGGGTGTTGAATACAATTTTTCTGGAATGGGTATGATAATGCTTCATAACCAGCATTAATAAGAAATAATTTTTATATTCTTACTTATTAATTGCTAGGATAGCATAGGCCTTGGGTTTAGTGAGAGCTGAGCTTGGACTCTGGCTTGGACACACTATAGCTGTATGAGCTGAATAAGTTCCTTCCATCTTCTAAACTGCAGTTTTTTCCTCTCTAAAATAGATCGTATCTCACTGGGTTGCTCTCAGAATCAAATGATATGACACAGAAAAAGCGCTTAGTCTAGTGCTTGGCTTGTCATGAGCGCTCAATAAAGGTTACCTATAAGTAGAAGTATTAGTCATAATCCCAGTAAAAATAACACAATAAAATGTGTTTACAAATTTTTGTTTTCATGTGGATAGTTTGTATAAAAATATTTCAGTGGAGAAATGAAAACTCGTAATGAAAAACTGGTAGGAACAAATCACAGACACTTATTAACTAATGCCTCATTATGATTTATGAATAACTTTCCCTGCTTTCAAAAATGTCTCTTATTAGTAGACCTGGGGAAACAAAATTAACTGCATAGCCTGTAACCTGGGTGTACCAAGGGAAGTACATGTCCATTATTTCTATTTACTTGTCTCTTATATGTATGTATTGATCAAAAAGCAGAAAATGTGCCCATATTACTTCAAGTCTAATTTAGGGCACTCCAGTATCATAAAACAAGACAGTGAAAACATTTGCTACAACCCCAGCCGAGGAGGTCAATATGGTATATGTACGCACCAACAAGATTATACACACACTCTCTCTGTGAGGTGTGCACTGATTCTTCTACTGAATGCCATGTAGCCTTATTTTTATCCTAAGCTAAACACAGGCCGCCCTGGGAGGGGGAAATGCCTTACTTTTCTGTTGAAGACCGGTCTCTTGGTCGAAGTGGTGGGACTGGAGGTGGAACATGTGGGGGAGGCACTGGGGAGGACGCATCCTTAAAGGCATTAGTGCTGTTGTCGGAGTGGCTTTTGGAAAGAGGTCTGTAGGTTTGGGTCTTTGCAGCAGGGTGTGACTGAGCACTGTAGGGTGGGTTGTACAGACCTATCATGACAAAAAACAAAAGTAGACAAAAAGCAGAAGCAAATAACCTCTTACAAATGAATTAAATTATGTGTCCCCCTTGAAATAGCCAATGATTGCATAGAAATTATTATCAATAAGCATATTCATAATGCATACATTAGAAGATAGTTTTTAAAATTTATTAATAATTTACTAATTTCCATTAATTTATTAATTACAAATTTATTCTGTATGTAAGCCCTGATTACAGCAAATCTTTGTCAATTATTTCAGAACTAGCAATAATTCAGACTGGTACTAGAAATGAACTTATAAGTACTCAGCAAATTTTCTCTTCAATTGTATACACTAAGACAATAGTTAAGCAGCTGCTGAAGGGGAGGGGAGCAGGGAAAACCTCAGAACCTGGTCTAAAGAAAGAAGAAAAGAAATAGTTGTGCACCTGTCCTGAGCCTGTAGCTGGGCAGGGAGAGAAGCCCTGGGCGGAATCCCCTGAGACAACATTCGGAGAAAGTGATGAAGGGAAAAACATTTCTCAGGGGTCCCTCCCTCCAGCCTGCAGATCCCGGCAGGAGATACCAATGCTCGCCAATTCAAGTGGCAATGCCTGGAACTGAAGTCATTCTATTATGACCACTGGCAATTCTGAGTCAGAAAAGTGGCCCCGCCAAGGGGGATTTTAAAAATCTTTCAATGAATGGTTGCATTTTGGAGCTAAAAGCAGGGACAAGGTCACAGAATACTTTGTTTGACTTGTTTTTGGTGAAGTGTATCTGAAAGATCTTACACAATTGGAATCATTCTCTTTGCTGATAAAAGATCTTTATCTTATTTTGTACCCTGGGTTACAGTGTGTCCTTTCAGCCTGTCCTTCACACTTTGGTTAAACATTCCTGAAGCTGAGAATAAACAACAGTGGGAATGAATGAGATAAACCAGTATTAGTTCTCATTTCCAGGAGAAAAGTCAATCCGTTTGTTCCGCCTGCTCTGAGAAAGGAAAAGAAGTCATCCTCCTAACTTATGAACTGAAAACATGTGCTCAAACAGAAGGGTAGAAAAGGTGACTGTGTGGTTCTTCCAGACATTGCTGAGCATAAAATAGACATCGCAAGCAAGGAAACCCATCCTACCTGCATTGTATGTGTAAGGAGTATGATACATGTCTGTGTCATCATCTAGAAAATGAAACAAAAATATCATGGTAATACAGATTGCCACCAAAGTATAATGAGACAGCAGAACTTCAGTGAAACAGCAGAAATTTGTTAGAAAAGCAATGTATTTTTCCTAGTTCATAATGCCATTTTTTTTTTTGACAGGGTCTTACTCTGTCATCCAGTCTGGAGAGCAGTGTTGTGATCATTGCTTACTGCAGCCTCCAAACCTCCAATCCCTGGGCTCAAACCATTCTCCCACTTAAGCCTCCTGAGTAGCTGGGATTACAGGTGTGTGCCACCACAGGCCTCTGCAAACTGCCCTTTTTTGTCTGTAACATATTCATCTTGCTGCCCTCCTCATAGCATGCAGAGTCAGGCCTTTGTCCTCGCTTCCCCAGAACCCTCTCTGCTCTGCATCGCGAATTTCCTTTACCAAGTGTTTTAGTGCCCTCCTGTCTACAGAGCTGGCTCAGGCAGACCTGCTCAGACTCACTCTCTTGATGAGAGCAGACAGGGGTGGGCACAGGAACAACGTGCCTGTTTACCAGGCAACACACCAATTTAGACTGTGGACAGGGGAGGATGGAGGCTGAGGCCAGAGCGCCTGGTTGTCCTCCGTGGGGAGGCTTCTTGGCAGCTCAGGTGGTAGGCAGAGGCACAGGGATCTGTCACTGGAGGGGTGATAGAAGGAGAATAGGAGGCATGCTGAAAAGAAAGGGGACATGGAGTTTGCTGGGGTCTTGACATTGTGTATGAATCAAACCTACACAAAAGATGAGTGTACCCCCTTCAACCCACTAGGACCTGATCAGAAAGCAGAGCAGCAAACGTACCCGGCTTGTGCACCATGTGAATTTGCTTAAACATCGTCTTGTACCAGTCCTTCGGCCGGTCGACTGTCTGTAACGAACAGAGTGTCCAGTGGTTACAAACTGGCTTCCAATCAACACGGCTCCTCAGTGTTTTCATTTCTCTATTTTATCTTCTTAATAACAGAGTCCCATTCTGTGATAAAATGTTCTGACTCTTTACTATGGCTTCATGACAATTTCAGCAATTTATTTAGTTATGTGTGCAGTTTGTTAATATATTACCTTGCGTTTGAATTTAGGCTGAATTGGAACTTCAGATGCTATGGTTTTATTTTTTCAAATTATAGCTGTGCCCAGCACTAGAGAGTTGATATTTGCACAAATATATTTATATAAAGTCCACTTAATAAAAGTTGTTGTTGTAATAAATTGCTGAACTCCTTTTGGTAGATAATGATCATTATCCTTAGATGCTTTTCATTGAACGTTCTGTCAAGACGGTGTTGTCAAGACGGTGTTTTCAGAATTCACTGGGGAATATTTTTGACTCAAATCTGTATTCTGATCAGCGTGGCTCTAGAGAAATAAATTTGCTATTTACTAGTCTAAGTTACTAAAATACAGAATGTAGTAGGCGTCCTAGAGTCCTAGAGAAAATTTAAGAATGTAGATATTGCTTCAAAAATTTTAATATGATAATAAAGTGTATACAACATTGGCTCTGCTAAAGTTGTAAGTTCCTTGAGAGTAGAAGTCCTCCCGGATCCAGGCTTCGGACATGAGGGGAGCAGTAAGTTGTAGTGGAAAGATGAAATTAATGTAGAATCTTGAACCAAGATTCAAATCTTGGTTCCTTAAATTGCTGCTTAATACACTTTAGCAATACGAATTTGGGCAAGTCATGTCAACCTTCTTGAGCCTCGGTTTTCTCCTCTGTAATATATCATAATTATATCTAAGTCCTAGGATTGTTATGGAAATTGAATGAGATGATGTCTACACAAGGCCTAGAACAATGCCTAGAATATAATAACTACTCAATAATATCACTAGGGAACCACAAATATTTGTAGAATGAAATAATGAATCAAGGTGGCCTATTGGATGGAACTCTGCCTTTCTGTACACCTGTAAAAGTAGACATGTGCTTTTATAATCATACTCATAGATTTTGCAAGATCTTACTCCAACTCTCTTAGAGCTACCTGGGCAACAAGCTTGACCATTCTGCTTATAGGAACTAAATATACCAGACTTTCCAAGACAGCTCTCTTGACTTAAAAAATTCCATTAGGACTGATACAAAAGTATTCTTATACTTATTAGACTGAGCTTTGGTTTAGATTTTCTTGCCTGATCTCTTTTTCCCCCCAGAAATGTGGTCACTGCATTTTTCATCTGGACATTAAGGGTTTTGTGCTATATCTAAATTTATTTTGACCTCTGGGCGTATATTATTCTGAAAATCACCCCAAATACAGATTAACATTAAGGGCCCCTTGACTTTGTTGTGAGTCAGCTCTTCATTCTGGGCTCTTTCTCCATGGCATAGCTGAGGTTATTGGTGGAATATTCAGTCAAAGGATGGGAAATGGTGGAAGGGACCGCAGTGATGAAGCAAGAATCTATTATTTGCTGGCTCAAACTTGCTAAACATGTATCTTTCAAGAAAGTTTATTTTTATAAAGGACTGATTTCTCTTTCATTAAACCTCATTTCTTTTATGGTACTAAAGCAACAGAAAATACAACATAACGTTGTGCAAAAATGTTTTCCTGGACATGCCAATGGCAACAAGGAAGGGTACGAAGTGAGTTCTATCACTGTATATGGCAATGCGTCTTGACAGACAGGTTTTTTTTCTTCACTTGCTGGAGGGCCTATATCAGGTAGAATCTCACAGTGATGCCATCTGCCAGCTTTATATGGTGAGCACAGAGAGGCCAGAAAATGCCCCGTTGGCAAAGGAAATATGAAGCTGGTAAACTAAAATATTAAAACTCTATATCCCTTTCTGAAAGAAGTACTCTCAGCATTTAAAGTTCCTTTTGTAAATTTTGTAAATGCCATCACAGAGATTGCTATGCCTAAGGTTCAGAATAAGAAAACAGTCTACTCAAATTTCAGGAAGTTTACTTTTGTATGTAAAATCATTTTGCATGAAAAACAGCTACTAGCAATTCACTATGCAGTTTTTTCTACAACCTTGACTGAATAGACCTGAATTTTTACATTCCTACAGTTTTCAAAACATCAGAACTCTACACCAATTTAACATGCAGAGATTTCAAAAAAGAAAAAAAAAGACATATTTTCTACATAGCAGTATACAGTGACTCTGTTCTATTTTTTTCTCCTTTTCACTTTTGAAAATACTCAACCAAGTGTTATATTGGAAGTAGAAGAAAAGAATCTTGTATTTCACTTAACTAGCTGGCCTTAATGACACAATCTCATGGGAGCTGAGCCCTGGTGATTTTTGTTGTTTTGAAGAACAGCAGTGAAAGGTTCACACAGATGTCCTAGGTCACATGAGAGAGGGCAGTCTGGAGGGCTGCTTGCCTTCATTAAAATAGCTCAAAAGTACTGTTTGTTGACTCTTGGCTTTCTAGAGTTTCTGGATGACTTTACAAAATTCTGTTTCCTCGGCATAGGCTGGCTGTCTAAAATGATCCTACCGCACGGTACACTGCGACAGTACCGCCTTTGGCAAATACACCGAATCTGATCATCACTACTTTCTACACACATGAGAAAGGAAAACAGCCTTGGAGAGTCTTGGCCTGCTGTGGCTCAGAGACAGCCTAACTTGACGTTTACAATCACAGCTGAACAAGGGGATGTGCTCGGGAGGGCTGTATAGCCAGTGTAAGACGAGAGTCCTCGTAGAACTGTACCTTCTTTGTCAAGTTTTAAAGGTCTAAGTAAGAGGACAATTATGCATAAAAATTACGGTTCCTTATAAGGAACTTCTGCCTTGGTTACATTGTGTTTTCTATTTTATAGAAGGGAAACTGGCATTAAATGTGGAGAGTGTTGGCTTATGCATACCCAGACGTGCTTTTGATTTGGCAGTGGATAAACATTTAAACAATTTTAAGATGATTTAATTTTCATCAACCATCTCTAGCATCTCAGTTTTTCCTTTTGAAACTAACCAAGCAAAGTCTGGTTAGTTGAGGAAATTATGTCTTATAATGGATAAAAACATGGACCAGGCTTGCACGTCCATTATATATCATTTATTGACCTAAAACATACTCAGATATTTTTGACAGAATCCTCTCAGACAGAATCTACAACTACCCAGAATCAGGGCCTCTTAGTTTTGTCTATACTGTGCCTCAAGTGTCAGTTACACAAAACCAATGACACCATATCTGACTGTCTATCCCTACATAATTAGAAGAAAGTCTCAAATTTAACCATTTTGAGTCAGAAATCTTATAAGGAAAATGAACAAGAAAACATATCACCAGAAACATGTAATCATCACAAAATGAAGAATATTGGTCATAATCCCTGAACTTTTGTTTGGCACATAAAAATATGGCAATTGTCAGTTTCAAGACAGATTGTTAGAGCATCATAATTAGTCATATTCCCTCAATCTAATGAGTCTAAAACCCCAGTAATTGCTGTACAGATTTTTGGCTTCCAGTTGTAATACAGATGCTGAGAATAATCCATTTTAAACTCTTCTGTCTGTACATAAAACACATAATCCCCATATAAAAATGTAAAGTCAAGGAGAGAAGAAAATTACCACACTTTAAAATCGTTAGTTCTTTTTGACTGTTTCCAATCTTACCATGGCTTTTTTTTTTTTTTCCTGATCTCTTTCCCGTTCTTTGCCTCTATCCCTTATTGTCGTGGCTGCCCAGGTCTGCATTCCCGGGGAGCAGCTCTTGGCCACATCCCAGCTTTACATGGGTCTTGCTTCAAAGTACATGCAGCCGTGCCCCCTCCCCATGGGGCCCCCAGCTTCACCTGCAACGGTGTTGCTGCTCTCATCCTGTCCCCGGCTTCCTTCTCCCGGCTGGCACAAGCCTTCTCTTCCAGTGGACTTGGTCAGCCAGCTGCTGCCTGCCCAGGTTCTCAGAAGCTGCCTCTGCTACTGCTGCGTTTTGCCGGAAGGGGCTGCCCAGATACACTGAGCAATGCTTTGGCAGAGTTTTAAAACTTAAAAAAAATCCCAAACACTTTCACTTATCATCCCAGGAGAGCTCTCAGCAGGCACGGCAGAAGAGGGACACTAAAATGTGTATTTTTCTTCAGACAGCTTTTCCTTTCCATGACATTAACTCTCTTCACTCCAATCATCTCACCTCCCAACTCCCAAATCACAGCTCCCAATCCCCCGGTGTTAACACACATCCATTTCAAGAAACGAATACATCACTGGTTTATTTGCAATGCACGTGGGAATTCAAGGCAGCCAAAGAATTTTCACTGTCTCATTCCTTCTCTTTTGTCTCTATTGCCCTAAGCCTCCTTGGTAAAAGGTAAAAGAAAAACAAACAAACAAACTAAACCACACAACATAGTTTTATCATTTAACAAAATCACAACGTTCACCATGTTTCATTCAAATAGAAAAACAGATTGTGTAATTCTCTCCCATCGACAGCTTTCTTTCTCTGCCACACACAGCCTAACATTCATGAGAACTCGGATGGCACGGAGGGCAATCCTCATTATATAAGACCCTAGGAATGCGCAAAGCCATGGACAATCCGTCCTTTGTGGAGTCTGTGCACAGCCCCAGACAGACGCACACGCTGGCATTTCCTACCGTTCTAATTGCTGTGGGGATTCCGGATTCATCCACGGGCCCGATCCCTGGGTAATGCGGGGCTTTGATGACGGTGACTCTCTTCTCTTCCTCTGAGGATCGGTACAGGGGGACAGAGCTGCTGGTGGTGCCATCCAGAGAGTGCGCGTGCTGGGGATACGTCTCTGTGGAATCTGTACAGAAAATTTGGTAACATGGAATGTATTAATTGCACAGGGAAGCATCAATTCATGGTGTCTTGTATATTTATGCCAACTGCAACACAGAGTCCATATTGCCACCACTATCCCTTTTAACTCATTTACTTTCCATTTGAGCTGGTGGAGACTGTGTAGGTGTGCGGGGAACAGACCTATACCGGCAAGGGCCTCACCGTTTCATGAAGAAGGCTGGGGAAGAATGGCATTTGTTACATGACGGTCTGGAAGCCTCTGAGTTACGAAGTGCTCTACATGCATTATCTCTTCTTATCCTTCCAGTAATCTTTGAGGGAGGGCAGGATAGGGGGAGCAAGAACCAGTTTTATAGATGAGGGGCAGGAGCTGAGACAAGGTTAGTAATTTCCCTCAGGTCATCATTTACATTAATATTATTCTTGTGATACTGCTAACTACTATTATCTACAAGTTTTGAAATGTATTTCTAGACAAAGATATGACTGTTGAGTCAGTAACAGTGATTTCCTAAAAATGAAGCAAAACCAAAAATCACTTAAAAAATTTTTCACATCCAAGCCTATGGTTATGAAAGCTTATGAATAAATAAATGCTTTAAAATTATTAGTACGATTTCCTATGTGCGTTTTTACCTTAAAATATAAAAAATCATGACTTCTTACTTTTTGACGACAAAAACTGCCTTAAGGATATAATTTAGATGAGGCTTATCAAGATCTTCATGGTTTTTAGTAACTTCTAGAATACTTTCAGAAGCAACAGAGTACAGACATGCAGTATATATTCCATTTACTCCTAGTTCACAGATATTTTTAAAAATCAACATTATTACCATTCCTCTGGTACGATTAATAATATGCCTTTCTATTTTTCTGCAATTAAATTGAAAATGTTGGTGACAAAGAATGACATTTATTTACTCTTTATGTCATGGTTTGTCAGGACTGCCACTCAGAAAGTCCTTTAAGGTGGAAATGAAAAGAATTCTCATGTTTCAGGGTGGGACTCATTGATACCATCATGTGTATATGATATATATCATATATAAATATATTTTTCATGAAAAATGTGTGTAAAATATCATAAGTAAGCTTTTTTTTTTTTTTCTTGAGACGGAGTCTCGCTCTGTCGCTCAGGTTGGAGTGCAGTGACGTGGTCTCATCCTCCGCCTCCTGGGTTCAAGCGATTCTCCTGCCTCAGCCTCCTGAGTAACTGGGACTACAGGCACCCGCCACCAAGCCTGGGTAATTTTTTGTATTTTTAGTAGACGACGGAGGGTTTCACCATGTTAGCCAGGATGGTCTCGATCTCCTGACCTCGTGATCCACCCGCCTCGGCCTCCCAAAGTGCTAGGATTACAGGCATGAGTCACAGCACCCAGCCATAAGTAAGCTTTTTAAGAAATTTTAACTCATCAATATAAGGGTAATTACAATTCAGATCTCTCTAAGGGAAAATCCACTGTAACATTTGTAACTGCTATTACTATGATTATGACTATTTTCAATTTATTTTGCGTCAGAAAGGCATTTTTAATACATTTTTTGATGAAGAATGGGTAAGGCCAGTTATAAAACTGCTTTATGCGCAGTTTATGTGCTGGATGGTGACATAAAATGTCCCTGAATAAACGAACAGCATCGTAGCCTTTCAATACTGAGTCAGTGCTGGGGAAGGCGGTGTGTTGTCTGCAGTCAAAGAAGATACGGTGGTTCAAGTCCCGTCTTGTAGTTTCTTTCCCCTGTGAATGGCCCCTTGAATGTGAAAGTAACATTCAAGCTAGTCCTTATTAAGACACAATGAGATATGTGACACTAATTGACTTTCTATTTAATTCCAAAAAGGACTTGAGTGGGCCGCCATGATACTAGTATTTTTATCAGCAGCAACTGTTTTTTGAACACTAGCACGTGCAAAGTCCTACTCTAAGCAAGGAGAATCAACTCTGCCTTCACATCTGATCCATTGCATTCTATGAACCCATACCTTACGCAATAGAAGTTACCCTTTATTTTATTATTCTCATACATGGTCTACTAGCTGTCATCTTAGCAATCTTTTTTCCTCAACTAAATAGAAAATTCATCTAGGGCAAGGTAGATGTACATATTCCCACGAGACCTATCATAGCACTGGCCAGCTGGAATTTGTTCAATGTTTACATGTGGAATGTCTTCCCATGTAGAATATTTTACATGTAATAAATCTACTTATCAATATGTTCTAAAATCAAAGCCTATCTACATTCAAGTATTTATATTTTTTTGTTGGATGGGGATGGGGACAAAACTGTATTCACTAAGACAGGCAATGAGACAGAGTCAGACTTTGTTAATAATTATTTGGGAAAAAGCTATGGCTAGAATAAATTGTCGAGTTTTACTTCGTATGTGTGTAAACGCATAGTTCCATTTTAAACAATCTAGATATAATGGACTTCCATCATAATACTACACTATGGGCTGATTGCTAAGGGCAAAATGTCGGCATAAGCAAGTTTGACTTTCTTAACTCTAAAAGGACATCATTGAGGGATTCACAGATGATCCTCAGGCATAGCATCGGCGAAGGCACAGATATATTTAGACTTTAATAAGTCCCATGGCTACCTTTAAAGTTTTATAGTTAGAGAGCTTTGGTTGACCTCAGAAGTTGAGTTCTATCATGCATATGCTGGATGCTGACATAAAATGTCCCTGAATAAACAAACAACATCATAGCCTTTTAATACTCAGTCAGTGCTGGGGAAGGAGGTGTGTTGTCTGCTGTCAAAGAAGACACGGTGGTTCAAGTCCCGGATTTTAGTTTCTTTCCCCTTGTTGCTGGCGCCTGTGGCCAGAGGACCAGGTCTCTCCTTTTCTGGGAGGTGCAGAATGGTCCTGCGGTCCTGAGAATTGCCCTCTGCTCCCTGCTGTCCTAGAAGCTTCCTAGTAAGTCAACTTCATGGAAACTTGTTCAGCCTGAATTCCTATGATAGTTCAATTTCATATTGCTTTTTGATATTTTAGGTTTTTAAGTTACATTTTTATAAACTAAGAAATATTTATGGGCTGGGTATGGTGGCTCATGCCTGTAATCCCAGAACTTTGGGATTAATCCCAGCACAAGGCAGGTGGATCACCTGAGGTCAGGAGTTCGAGACCAACCTGGCCAACATGGTGAAACGCTGTCTCTACTAAAAATACAAAAATTAGCTGGGTGTGGTGGTGGGCGCCTGTAATCCCAGCTACTCGGGAAGCTGAGGTAGGAGAATCACTTGAACACAGGGGGCAGAGGTTGCAGTGAGCGGAGATCGCACCATTGCACTCCAACCTGGGCAACAGAGCAAGACTCTGTCTCAAAAAAAAAAAGTATTTATTACATTATTTTCTGAACTATCCGAATATATTTTACCATGTAAGAGCATTTCTATCACTGTATAGCACAGCTTCTTTCTCAGGAGGCCACAAAGAGTCCATGAGCCCCATGAAATTACCTGCTTACAAGTTTTTATGAATGTCCGTATGTCCATTTGTTTTCTGGAGGAGAGCTCTGTCTTTTACTGAATTCCCAGTCCTCAGAGGGTTAAGAACGATTGCGCTATACAATGACCGAACCTTCATTTAAGGGAACTCTTAAGTTTCTCTTGTGTGGCTTCCCGCTACCGTATCCCTGACCGCAGGTCTTCCAGCCTTGGTTTGAATGGCTGTTTCCTCCTTTGTGAGCCAGTAGATGACTGCGTCACTGCTTTGCAGGACAGCCTGTCCTCCTATTACACTGTTTTAACTGTCAAACGATTCTCCCTTATATAGACCCCAGGAAATAGTCCACGGTGGACATGGTGGAAACTCTTCCAAAGACGAACAAGCTGCCCTAGTGGAAAAGCCTGCATTCATGTCCTCCAGTGGCGTAAACCCCCTTACCCTAAGTAACCATCTTCCTTTTCTTTCTACTCCACCACCCCAGACATTTAAGTGCCCACTCCAGGCTCAGACACAGGTGGAGTCATTGTCTTGGAAGAGGATGGTGCCCATTTTCTCCCATGTTGGGTCCTCTGCCCCAGTTACTCCCTGGGGATAGGGTCATGAAATAGTGGAGTGCTGAGCGCCCCCCGCCTCACCTTGATGCTGCATATTTTTCTCCTGTGGTTGTACTTGCCATATTGAGGTTGCCATGGAAATCAGGGTGAGCAAATTACTTACCAAGGGACGTGCCGTGCTGCATGACGATGCTGGAGTTGAGTGAGGCTGGGAGAGAATATGCCGAGGGGGAAAACGGCCTCTGATAGTAACTCATGGGACTCACGGCACCTCCAGAGTTTCCATTCACTGTTATCTGGCTCTGGGAAAAGTGCAAAGCCATCGAGTTAAATTAGCACATAGTTCCCTGCAGACATCATTCCGTCAGGCGATAATAAAAGACTTCCAATCACATGACAGTAATCAGCTGCCAAGCTCTTATTTATTTTGAAAACTGAGGTCAGAGGGCATGGTATGTTCTTTGCCTTCTCTCTCTTCCCTTATTTCTGAAAATCACTCTCTTGTGTATCTGAGGGCCCAGGGAGTGGTTAGGAGGAATGAAAGTGGCTGACTGGCGGGCATGCCACTCTGCCAACAGAGGTGCCAAATGGTATCAGTAGGAGTCAGTAGCAAGTAAACGTGGAGGACGACTTTGCTCTGACAGTCAGAATGTCAGCGGTCAGAATACTGTCGTGCTGTTCCGCATGCAGCATTGACATGGATGTCCTTCGACATGAGGCAAGGGATTGGTTCTCAGACCTAGTCAGGGATATCTTCTAGTGAATCAATGTTTCCAGAGCCAGGAGAATAACATAAGGAATCCAGTTGTTTGGATGTATATATCATGAAGCAACCTATTCTAGGAGGATCAAATACCTGGTAAAGGATCAGAAAGACATGTTCAACCACTGGCTTCTCCCCACTTCAGCCTCACTGAGCACTTCATCAATCTCTGATTTCTTAATTATTCATTGTTTTGATTGTTTCGTATCGGAGTATTTTAGAACCCAGTGGTATCTCAAGCTTCTTGTTGAAGATGGTCATATATATGCTTCTTTAATATTTTGTATAACATGCAGCCTAGTGTTGATGACAGAGTAGATGTTCAACAGGTATCTATTCTGATGGAACTGAATCGGCTTAGTTCACAGATATCGAGCTCAGGACTATCAAGCACGCCTGTCTACCCACAGCACGGTACTGACCATTACGGGGCACACACAATGCATGCATAGAAGATCAAACATTAGTAAGAACGTTTAGTTAAAATTATAACTAAATACACACAACACACATAGGCACACAGATAAAGAACCATAATTTGTGAATCTTTTCTACTTATTTTAAAACAAAACAAACTTCTATTACACAGGCTTGAAACATAGATATAGTAACTGCATATTTCTCTGATTTCACTTTAAAGCAGATAGGTTTTCAAATGACCTAGAATAAGTCTAATTTGATTACTGTATAGCCACACCACTTATGTCCCCAAATCAATAAACATTTCATTACAAGCCTTACGCTTATTGATTAAGTAATTCTCTAAGCTGTTAGAAAAATTACTCTCATATCCTAACCAGCCACATCTTGAGGACCTGCTCCCTGGAGAGAGCTGGACATTCAGATAAGTGTAAGGCACAGGCCTACTCAAATCTTCAGAGCCTTTATGTACCTCTGATGAATGATTTGAGAACACTTTCACCTCCTTGCCAAGTTAAGTTTGGTGGATCTTTGTCAATATCATTGTAATAATATTATAACATGTTATAATTAATGTTAAAAACTGAAGAATCCTTATTAAAAACCGTCAGGTTAACTATGTTACTAAACTTACAAACTTGCTCTGAATCCTATTTTGATGGTTTCAATAATATTGACTAGGGGTTAAAAAAGCAAACACTGAGAGTAGATTTATTCTTTTTTTTTTTTTTTTTTTTTTTTGAGACGGAGTCTTGCTCTGCCGCCCACGCTGGAGTGCTGTGGCCGGATCTCAGCTCACTGCAAGCTCTGCCTCCCGGGTTCACGCCATTCTCCTGCCTCAGCCTCCCGAGTAGCTGGGACTACAGGCGCCCGCCACCTCGCCCGGCTAGTTTTTTGTATTTTTTTAGTAGAGACGGGGTTTCACCGGGTTAGCCAGGATGGTCTCGATCTCCTGACCTCGTGATCCGCCCGTCTCGGCCTCCCAAAGTGCTGGGATTACAGGCTTGAGCCACCGCGCCCGGCTAGATTTATTCTTTTATTGTGTTAAACCAATCAGGATTTTACGAATACAATAGCATCATTAGCATTTTAGAAAATACTGTATTGTTATAGTGAATTCCTTATTAGGAAAAACATGTCATGAATAATCTATTTGCAATTTTAAACTGATAATTGCAATTAATTTCTCTCACAAGTAGCTCTGCTTGTGCCTACAAGACTGTATATAAGACAGTCTCCTGTAAAGTTTTAAAAGCAGAAAATTGAACAGGTTAGTTGGTAGACTGATACCCTCTCACTGCCTTATATTTTTGGTTAAAAGTCCTGGTAAAGTTTTAAAAGTTAAGAACCATTTGAAGCATAGTAAGGCATGGGAGGAACCCACACCTGTGGTGCTCCTGGCTGGTCCCGTGTGGCAGGGAGGGACTCGCTATGGGGTTAGGCCTGGAAAACGAGGCTCCCTCTGTAGCCAGTCTCTGAATGGAACATTTGAATGCAAAGTGTTAGACCCAGCCACTGGGGGAATACTAAATCCTATTACCAAAAAAAGCATCTTTTACTTTTTGTAAATTGCAGTGTCTTAAAAAACATATGGCTTATTATAACATTTCTCTGTGCATAAAATTTGCAGATTTATGAGCTTGATAGAACATAAAACTATGTAGCACAAATAAAATTTTGTCTATGACAGTGCTTATTTGGAACTTCATTATAATATCAATTTTAAAAAATCAATTTTTTTTTTTTGCGTGAAGCTATGTGCCTCTTAAATGGAAGCCATTACTTATATTGGCTTGTATTATATGCAATACAGAATCTGTGCCATAAAATTTTGAAACATTTTAGCCATTCACAGATCATTTATTAGGGATTGCTTATCACATAGATATATTTAAATAATATATGTATGGAAAAGATGTTTATATTGCATAAATGAAAGACAAATTATTGATATACAAAATTTAAAAATGTATTCATAAATTTCTATCCCGAAGTGGCTCAGGAAGAATAATTTTTAAAAATCATACAGCTAAATTTCTGAAAGGTAGATAACATTATCGACATCATTCACTCCTGGACAACAGATAATTCAAAAGTTGTAGCTATTAGAGAAGAAGGGGAAAGAAAAATTAGCCTTATGCAGTCAGTACTCATTTATGTGAGAAACGAGGTTATAGAAAAGAGTCACACAGGACACATTAATGTGAGTCTGTGAGAAAAACTATTAACGTGTATTAATACTGGGTTAAAATTTTTTGAAAAATTTTAGACTTTCTCTACGATCATAACATATTGTGATGTATGCTTACCTAACAAGGCAAATCACTGTACAACTCATCAGCTACAGTAACACGGGAAACCATAAGTAACCATTTTAGAGTAATTGTAAGTAATTTTAAAATGAATGAAGAGAATATAAGTGACTTTTTTAGCCTTAAGCAGGCTTATGAGGATGACTAATGATTTCCCTGACGGATGGCACAGAATTGGTTTCGGAGTCAACACCTATGCAAATAAAAATGTCAGCTGAAAAATGAGATGGCACAATAAATCAGTCCTTTTAAGGAAACGGTGGAGGCAAAGAAAGGCAGAATAATTACATGCGTGGCCGCAGGGGTGGTTAAGGTGGTGCCATCTGTCACAGCAGACCTCTGACCCCAGGTGGGGGAGGGTGTCTCAGAACGGCCAGTGGTGTCAGAGTCACCAATCTGCAGCTCCTCAAGCATGGCTGTGGAGGACTCACTCTCCGAGCGGGAGGAGTGCTCGGCCAGGGAGGAGTTTGTAGTCAGAGAACCTGTGTCATGGCTGTGGATAAGGCTTTCAGGAGCTGGGAGCAGGTGTTTGCATAAGCAATGGGAAAGGCTGTGGGGTTTATGCAGGCGTGAAGACCCCAAACCATCGGGTGGCGGAAGGCTAAGTGATGCTGAGCTGGTGCCACTGCCTGGTGAAAAAGTGGCTCGGTTCAAAGGTACCACGGAAGGAGGGCACGGAGGAGAGGCTTCTGGTGTGGTTTGTCTGTGTGTCTGTGAAGCATTTACCTCCAACACACTGGCAGGTAAGTTCTGATTTCCAAGCTGAGTATGAGGAAAAAATAATAAGAGATAAATTATCCAATTAACAAAAGTACCTCTTTTTTGCAATTTGGCAGAGAAGGCAAAGCATCGGTTTTATTTGCAAGCACTTTAAGGAGTTACATTCAGATGGATTAGGTGCCAACCACACAGTGCAGAAAAAGCACGAAAACAGGAAGAAAGTGAACCCAGTCGGTGTGTTTTGGAAACAAGGCCGGCTTTCACACAGCACTGCAATGTAATTTTGGGTAGGGGCTTGAGAATGTTGGCACAATGAAACTGTTTCCTCAGGAGTTTTAGTTTTTGTATTTGTGACGATGATAAGATATCAGACTATTGGTCAGCAGAACTGGTTTGCCCTTCACTAGAAAAATCTAATCGCATAACTGCCTCCCCCTTGCCAAAATGTCCCCAAAACATAAATCTGTCTTATTTTTTCCTGGTTTATGAATCTAAATACTGATAATACTAAACACAACTAAGTGGAAAAGATAAATGGAAACGCTATTTTATTTCCTTTCCACTCATTAAATCTGTTCTTTGATTTCACTACAAAATATGAAAAGAATTGGACTTTAAAAATATCCTAGCAATGCAAACAGAGGTGCCATGTGTGAAAATGAAAAGCAGCCACCGATAATGGTTAGAACGCACCCTAGTTAGTTAGAACTGTGGTTGGCACTAAATCTTAGGTAAAGGAGAAAGAAACTGAAGGAAAAACAAAAGATTTAACAGCTCCAAGCCTATATATAGCCCAAGAGGCTAATCATAGCGAAGGGATGCTCTGTAGGAAGAAGAGAGATGACCGTTTGAAATTTTACAACCACCTGTGGTAGCCTTGATGACGTCTGACCGCACATGACAAACAGGATGATAAGCACTGAATCCAACATAAGTGAATAAAACTCCGAAGCAAGTTTTCTTACTTATTTTTTCTACCTTTCAGAATAAATATTTTTTTTGGAGGGGATGTTTGCGGGAGGAAATGGTTTGAAGATAGATGGCCAGAGGTATTGTGAGATACTAATACAAAGATGGGAAATGAATG